TTACACCAGCCTGGCCAAGAAAAAGAACACTTCTAGCAATCCAGAAGTCCCATTATTCCACACCTGAACCCAATACTCTTCCTACCCTGATAAGTGATTACTTACTATTCCTTATAGTTTTACTTGCTACATCTTTGTTCCTAGCTGTATTGTTAGTTGCTTTTATTTTTATTTTAAATTTTCTTCTACTTCTTCTTCTTCTTCTTCTTCTTCTTATTATTATTATTATTATTATTTTAGAGACAAGGTCTCACTCGACAGACTTTGGTGCAGTGGCACAAACTTGGCTCACTGCAGCCTTGACCTCCTGGACTCAAGCAATTCTGCTGCCTCAGCCTCCCAAGTAGCTAGGACTACAGCTGCATGCCACCATACCCGGCTAACTTTTGTATTTTTTGGTAGAGATGAGGTTTTGCCATGTTGCCCAGACTGGTCTCAACTCCTCAGCCAGTCCACCAGCCTCGGCCTCCCAAAGTGCTAAGATTACAGGCGTGAGCCACTGGGCCCAGCAGCTTTATTTTTAAGTCTTAACCACCTGAAAATAATTTTTGGTATAAGTTATGATGAGGTAGAGGTTTAATTTACTTTATTTTTTTCCCATATGTAATCTAATTATCCCAACATCATTTTGAAAAATTTATACTTCTTCGCTATTCTCGACTCTTCATATTTATATCACTGATATAAATATGACATCTGTCATATATATGGTTTATATCTATGTGGAAATATTTGGGAGTATCCTATTCTGTTTCACTGCTCAGTTGGTTTATCCCTGCAACAGAGCCACATTGTCTTAATTATAATAGCTTTTTAACAAGTCTTAACATCTTATAAAGCAACGCTGCCAATCATTTTTTCTTCAAGAGCTTCTTTGTTATTCTCGGCTCTTCATATTTCTACAAAACTTTTGAAGTTTAGCACACATATACACATGCATGCATCATGAAGATTTCCATTGAAATTTCAATGAATCTGTAGATAGATTTGGGTAGACCTGGTGCCTTTACAATACTGAGTCTTTCAATCATGCACATGGTATTATCAGTACATCTAATCAGGTTGTCTAAAGTGTCTCTCAATAAAATTTCATATTTTTTCCAAAGAGGACTTGCTTTCTTGTTTAATTAAATGTATCATATTATTTGATGCTATTGTAAATGCAATTTTTTCTTATGTTACAAAATGGAATTGGTGTATGCATGTTGATTTGAACAGAAATGTTGTTACATTGAATACTTTTTTTTTTTTTTTTTGAAACAGAGTCTTGCTCTGTCGCCCAGGCTGTAGTGCAGTGGCCGCATCTCAGCTCACTGCAAGCTCCGCCTCCCAGGTTCATGCCATTCTCCTGCCTCAGCCTCCCGAGTAGCTGGGACTACAGGCGCCTGCCACTACGCCTGGCTAGTTTTTTGTATTTTTTAGTAGAGACGGGGTTTCACCGTGTTAGTCAGGATGGTCTCGATCTCCTGACCTCGTGATCCACCCGTCTCGGCCTCCCAAAGTGCTGGGATTACAGGCTTGGGCCACCGCGCCCGGCCTGAATACATTTTTTAAAGTAAAGAAACTTTCACTTTTACAAAATTATGTATAACCTGTGAAAATGCTACTGTCCCCTTGTGCAACACATGAATCACAGAGAAAGATCAGAGGGTGTGATGGTGTAATGTTATGAAATATATATTTGATCTTTGGCCTTGTAACTCCTAAAATCTTTAGCAACTCCACATTGATACCTCTTTGCATCTTAATGAGTTGACTGACAGCTGACCAGCCCTTCCAGGTGGGGGCTGTTCACTGGAAAGAATCAAGGCAGGATTCTAGGGTTGGGATTTTCAGGCCCACTCCGTGACCTCTGGGGAGGAGAAAAGGGTTACAGGTTAAGTTGATCACCAGTGGCTAATGGTTTCATCAATCATGCCTGCTAATGAAGCCTCCATAAAACTCCAAAAGGACAGGGCTTGGAGAGCTTCCAGATAAGAAGGTGGGGGTTTCTGGAGGGTGATGTGCCCACGGAGGGCACAGAAGCTCCGCGTCCCTTCCCCCATACCTCATCCTATGCACTCCTTCATCTGAATCCTTTGTAACATAATAAACCAGTAAACGTAAGTAAGTGTTTCCTTGAGTTCTGTGAGCTGCCCTAGCAAATTAATCAAACTCAAAAAGAGAGTTGGGGGAACCCCAACTTGAAGCCAGTCAGTCAAAAGTTCCAGAGGCCTAGATTTGTGACTGGTAGGGGTTGGGGGTAGTCTTGTAGGACTGAGCCCTCAGTCTGTGGGATCTGACACTATCTGTAGATAGTGCTGGAATTGAATTGGAGATACCCCGCTGGTGTCTGCTGCAGAACTGCTTGCTTGCTTGGTGTGTGGGGGAAAAACACAAACACATTTGGTGGCAGAAGTTTTCTATGTTGATTATTCTGGGAAAACTCTATTGTCTCCTTGGGCAACATATGGATTTCGGAAAAAGATGAGAGGGTGTGATGGTGTAATATTCTGAAATATATATTTGAGATCTTTGATCTCATTTCGTGGCATACAACACCTAAAATCTTTAGAAACCACGGTGTTATCTTTTTGCATGTTAATAAGTTGACTGAGGCCCTATGCAGCTTCAGGGTGGGGGCTGGTCCCTGGAAACAGCCAGACACCCCCCAACCTTGGTTCTTTTCACAGTCTTCTGTGTTGTAGTGTGAGAACAGAGAAAAAGCAGTTGGTCAGCAGTGACCAGAGATGGTCCCTGGTTGAGAGCATGGGCTTTGGAATAAGAGAGGCCTGGGTGAAGTCCCAGGCGATTATTAGCAGCTGTGTGTATGAACAGATTCCTAGATTCACCACATCACAGGATTCTTCTGTCAAATGCATAAATTAAAATAGCTCCTGTCTATTAGGATTGTTTTAAGGATGAAGTGAGGCACTACCTATAAAGAGCACAGAACCTGGCACACAGAAATGTGAACTAAATACTTACCAACGTTAGTGATAATGATTCTTGCTTGTCCATGCATGTTTTCTTCACAGTGAGCTTAAGTCTTAAAAAACAGTTCTACTTTCCTCTTCAAAATTTAATTTTTGACTGTCCTTCCTCCATTTGTATTTATATTTTTCCCCAAAAAACAATCTCTCCCTCTCCCTCCCTCCCTCGTTTCCTTCCTTCCTCTCTCCCTCAGCTTGTTCTAAATCTTGCTCTGAACATTCTTTTTCACATTCCTTTTTAAATCTTACAACAACTCCACATATTCAGGTAGAAAAACAGAATCTTCTGGTCTTGGATACAATATATTAAATGTTTCATTTCCCTCCAAAGGAACATGTGTTCCTGCTTAAAAGTTATTTTATTCCCAAATCAAAATAATAGTCAAAGATGTCACCTTTGGGGGAAACTGGGTAAAGACTATGTAGAACCTTCTTGTAAATTGTTTTTTGCAATTTTCTGTGAATCTATAGGTATATAAAAATAAATTGTTTTAATAAAAAAATTTCTTGTAAGTGTTCTCATTTCTTCTTTGTACTTTTCTGTTTGATTTCTTATAATGAATATATATTTGCATTGAAAAACAATAAAATTACTCTTACAAGAATAAAAATAAATACATTTATATGGATTACATTTCTAAATATAAACTATAAATGCATTAGAAAAATTCAGGATTTTTTTTCGTGGAAGGGAGGAGCATCAGAGTAAGAAAGATCATCCAAAGAAAGATTGTTTTTTTAAAAGAAACCATAAAGGAAAATACTAAAAAGTCTCATTGCATAAAAATTTTTAAATTGCAATAGAATATAAATTAAAATATATGTAACAGGCTAGAATAAAATATTTGATACAAAGACTTAATATACATAATATAGAGTTCCTATAAATCAATAGAAAAATATTTTTAAAAGCAAGTCGAAAGTAGGCAAAAAATACAAAGAAACAGAAGAAAAAATACTAATAGTCAATACCCACTCAGCTCTTCTTATATTCAGAAAAATGCAAATTAAGTCAAATATAATGTATCCTTTTTTTCCACAAATAGTATTGTTTTTCCATATGGGTAACAATCAGTCTTATCCATTATTGAAGATAAATGGTACATTTTGGGGAGGGTAATTTAACAATATCTCCCAAAATTAAAAGCTGATTGCATTTCTAGATATGTATTTTATGGGAATACTTATGAACCAAAACAAGTAGTGCCACACTGTGAAAAAGTGAACACACATGCCGTTCACTTGGATGGGACTTATTTAGATGACAAGCGCCTGGGCCCAGAACATCTGGATATTTCACTCCTAATTGCTAGGGACACAGAAGGACCTAAAGCAATGCTTGATTCCTCCTTCTCTACAATGAACAGTCCTTGGAGAAACAGCTGATAGCTCGCTGATGCACTTCATCAATTAGAGACTGACCCCGCCCCCGCCGAAGCTCCCACAGCAGCTTCCCAGATTGCAGGGAATTTCAAGATTTCTGGAATTGATACTAGAACAAGAATTTTACAACTGCTCTCCCAAATATGATTGACTATAATATAATGTAATGTGATACAGTATACTATAACCACATATTCTTGTACATTCTGACAATATTGCTATTTTAAAGCATGCATGGATTGGCCAAAGCAATGTAATGGATTAGCCATTGCTTTGTTTTTATTCTTGATATTAATTCAGTTCACAGTTGCCAATCAATAAATTGGGACCGAAGTCAACAAATTGAAAAGTAGCAGTAATGAGTAAGCAGAATATTGTGCTGTTCTTTGAGCAAAACAATTGATCTTCTTGTTATTTCTACCATCTCTAAAGGCAAGAAACAGAATCCCAGAGGAAGCATAAAATACTGTTTGGATTCCCATAATCCTGCTTTCCTTATTTACAATTCCCTTCATCCTTGCCTGCCTGTCCAGATGGTTTTCCTCTTGATTTCCCAAACTGAACTATGCTCACTGCCTTTGAGATGCTAAGTACTTGAGAAGACTTCATCTTCATTCGTCACAAACAGAAGTCATAAACTCTTACCTTTGCCGAATTATGCTGGGGTTAGCTGTCACTAAATGACTTTTGGATCCAACATCTTTAGTGTATTCACTTGACAAAGGAGGGAGATTGCATCTAGAGAAACAAGAACAAACATTTTGGAATGATTCGCATATTTTAAATCATCAGTGAGAATAATACAAATAGAAATTTTATTAATTCTAGCTCAATTCACAAGTAACTGTTTCTTTTTTTAACCACTTCTCCCTTTTAATAGACATTAGATGAATAATTAACTATCAGCATCTTCCAAATGCTGTCATAAAAACCACTCCTGTTTAGGAAGAAAGATAATGTCAGTCAAAGGGGTAAATGATCTACAAAAAGAAAGAGACAGTAACTAGGAGGTATTTATTCCATTCAAAATATTTTTGAGAGGGTAGGACAGACATTCTTAGACCTGAATTAGAACTCAGGACAGTATGGTACACTAGAGGACATGGGACCTACAGTACCTCTGCACACCCATAAACCTCAAAAGACAGGGAAGAATTAATATATTTTCTGGTGTTTTTCTTTCTTTTTCCAAAATCTAAATTATAAGAGTGCATTCAGGGCCATGTGCTATTCACTTAAATCACAGCATGTCTGACTTGTGTGTGTGTGGCCAATGCACAGGCTGATTACTGGTGAAGGCATAACGGCTCATCATCCAAATAAATGCAGTGATCCACCATCCCAGTTCAGCCAAAGGAAAGAGTACAGGTGATGTTTCCCTGGTGATGGGAATAGCCACTCCACTCCCATTCCCAAAACACCACCCTGCCCTAGTTGCTTTCCTTGGCCGCCATGTCTTATAAATGCTTACAATAGGAAATATGACCACCCCAAATTCAAATCCCATGGCTTTCTGCCTGTGGAACATTAGGCAAGTTAATTTATTTGCCTGACTTCAGTTTTGCCATTACACAAAATGAGGATGATGATTTTTCCTCTTTTATGGAATTGTTGTAAGGATTAAAAATGGTACGTAATAAAAAAATTCCCTAACCTTGATGTGTACACTTAGTAAATATTTAAAAAATCACAAATCAGATATAGCATACAAAAATAATTAAATATACATTTATTATCTATGAAAATGCCAATTGGGCCTATAGTTTCCATTAAGCTTTCTTTTATTACCGAGTCCTCATTTCTCCTCTCCAACCATATGTCTAACTTGATTCCTACCACATTAGGGCATCTGTAACTTTTTATCACTTCAGTAAACCAAAGCATCACTTACTTGTAGGTAAAGATATCTTACAAATATTGCAGTCTCTGCTAGTTCCCCAACAACTAAATTTTCCCTACAAATTACCCCCAGTATCCAGGTACCCACTCAGCTGATCAGCTCAGGTTCTCTGATTTTGTCTCTTATTTACCCTGTGAGCGTCACCACATCAAAGCATCCTAGGCAGAAACTTGTCTCAGTTGATTCAGAAGCTTCTTTTTATCTGCTCTTTGGTGATAAGATACTGGTTTTTCTGGTAGCTGCCAACAGGTCAGTTAACCAGTCAGTGGCTTTTGCTGAGTGCCCACTGAAAGCACACAGTGCTTGGGGCTGGAGCCCAAGTCAGAGAACCTACTCTTGAGGTATGTACAAGAGTAGATAGAGTGGTTGCCCCATATCCCATGTGGTGTTTCCTGAGGATTCTCATGAGGGAGTGAGTTTATGCATCAACAGCCAGGCTCATCCGGTTGTGGTAACGGATTGTGGTCTTGTGATTTAATTGATCTTTGCAAAGAGGAAGATGACTTCCAGGATAAAACACAGACTAAAATTTGGATACTTGTCTCTTAAAGCAGCTTTGATCTTAATTGCCCTTGAAAGCATGTGAGAATCAGCTATGTTATGCTAAAACTGTAAATTCTGAGTATTGCTGGAGAGTGCTGTCAACGTGTTTTGTCATTATTAAACAAACTGGTTTTCATGAGTAAACACTTTGTTTTCCTGTGTGTTCCATGGCTCATGTGTCTGGGTCTTTTCATATCTACTGCCACAGAGTAATAGCTCAAGAAAAACTTGCAGTTATTTATTATCATCTAGAACAGAGGGATTCATGCTTAAAATCATAAAGATAACGTTTTATATGAATTTTGATGTATTTCCAGAAAATAACGACAATACATTTTGGTGTAAGTTCTGGGTAAACTTTTTAAGTGCAAATATCTGTGACACTTTCCTGTCTGTCTTCTCTCAGGAAAAGCACACCATAATTTTCGTTCCTCAACTCAGAAATTGATAATTACAAAGATGTACACAAAAGGCACATTTAATAAAGTCAAATTGTTTTAATAAGGCATATTTGTGGTGTAAAATGTTTCAAAGTTTGCATTATCGCTGTTGGCACAATTAACAAATATTAATGACTGAAGTGTCTTAGCAACTGTACTCACGATCTTAAAAGAGATCTGATCAGAGAATTAACAAGAAATGAATATTCTTTGAATTGGGATGTGGAAGTAAGTGGGAAATGGGCTTGATAGAAAGAAATCTTAAGGTAGAAAAATCACAAAATCCCTTTACATTTTTTATATATATGTGAGTATACAAAACATACATTTGGGCATAATTCAAAAGGCACCAAAATTATGTTCTCTCATTCATGTCCCCAAGTTAACCAGTTCCTTTTGAGGATGCAATCCCTGTTAACTTTTGTCTGGTAAACCTTCCCAATAAATTGAATTCAACAATATTATTTTTTAAAGTATTGCTTTTGGCTACAGAGCAAATGCTTACTTTGAGAAATGGGAAATTGATTTCCAGCACTAGAAGATGTGTTTGAAAACATTTAAGCAGAGAAAATTATGAAATTGTTGTATCCTACTCCTAGAAGACACTTTGAACGGTAATCTGGTACATCACTGTGTACAGGCAGCACTACTTTTTGATGTTGTCTCCCAGTACATCTGTCCATCACACACCCTACAGTCTAGGACCAGACATACGACATGCTTTCTAATCTACATTTATTCATTAAATGTCACATTTTGAATATATAATATCTCGATATATTAAGCATGCCCCAAAATGCATATTAAGCAATGATTTATTAATAGATCTGCAAATGGTCAAATAATTTTAAAATAATTTATCAACTTTTATTACTCCTATAATTTAAACTATACATAAGGCTTTTAAAAATTAAAATGTGTCATAAAACAGCACTATTCTTGAAATTAAATCAAAGGCATATGCATACATAGTTCTTGTTATGGTGCTACCTTCTTTGAATTCTTTCAACCCTCATCTCCTCATATTTTAGAAATATTATGCTCAATATTGTGCCAGGCACTCTAATCAGAAGCACCCTTTAATTCTGAACTTGAATATATCAACATCAGATTGCATATAAAGCCAACAAAGTCTTGTTTACTTGTGATAAATATGGCCCACTGGAAATAATAGATAACACTCTATGGTGCCTAAGCCTAGTCTTCTACATGTTAGTACATGTCCATCTTCACAAATGTATGACACACACACATACACACTCATGAATAATACAAAAATACATTTATTATACTGCACGAAGTGTATTTACACTTCCACGTGTATCAAGGCCACTTGAAATCACTTAACTTCTTTGAATCCGTGAGTTGAATACTATGTATTCCTTCTTTCTTACATAATTTTTGGAAAGAGCACATAAACTAATAATACTCAAGAGCAATTTGAAAATATAAACTAAACTACATAAACGGTGTTACAATTATACGGTATTCATACAGTCATAGATAGAGTAAGAGTTGCCATAGTGGGAAGGGCCTGAGGAACTGACTACTCTGCTTCCTCCTACAAATTAGAAAGCCGGGCCCCAGCAAGGGTAAAATAATGCACTGTAGGTCACAGACCTAGTTAACAACAGCAAGGACTTGTCTCCTACCTCTCTGCGTTCTTTACTGGCTCCTCAGCCTCACCTAATGCCAAAATACTGAAGAGGGTGCCTGAAGGTGGCTCAGGGCTCTGCTCTCACCTATTCATGCTCTCTAGGTGATTTTCTCCACTCCAATACCTTAAATACCTCTCTGGCTCCATCTCAAGCCACTCTCCCCACTGTTCATGACACTGCAACAGCACTTGCTGTCGTTCCCACCTTGGACCCTTGGGTTGTTTCTCTGCTTAGGGTGAAATGAAGAGAAGACTTAGCTCAGACACCACTTCTCTTGAGAAGCTCCTGTGTGTCTGAACTCCCCCACGGTAGCAAGCACATCTCTAGGACATAAATTCATTACAGGATTGTTCAGCACACCATTCCCAGAGCCAGCTCAAGGCCCATAGGTTATGGGTGCTCAGTGAGCAGGTGTTGCATTGACTGGAACTAAAAGAATTACATTTGTACTTTTTCCATTTTTTCTATTATTTGTATATATTGAAAAGAAAAACTGCAATATAGAGGAAAAACTATGCTGGGGGTACCTGTTCGAAGGAAAGGTGGGTAGACAAGGATCTAGACTCTCCTGCAGGCTTCAACAAGTGAGAAAAAATGTCTTTCAAGGAGACTAACTCCGAGAGAGAACTTAGCCCCCACAAGTACACGGCTTCTCTTAAAAACCCTCTCAGATAAAGTCTTTGCTCTTCCCTCTCCCACTTAGCTCAGGGCTCAGAGGTGGCTTAGCATTCTCTCGGCTACCTTTTTTCCACTCCTAGACTGTTATTCGTTTATACTTAAACATAAACAGGAATACAAAATCTCGCTCAGCTTTCTGTCCTTGATGTTGCTGCGGTCTTCACCCTTCCTGGCCACAGAGTCTGCTGGCACTTGGTTCATAGTCATTTCTACCTCAATGAGACTTGAGGGTCCACCTGAAAGGCCTCTCAGAGTCTATCCTCAAGGTTCCTTTATTTTCTCAATAACAAATGTTTTCTTTTTCTACAACATGTCCACTCATCCCCCAGATACCCTGAGCTCTGAAATCTTGCCCTCCAGAAAGCCATTCTTTGACTTTAGCTGCTGCTTCTTATTCCACGTCTCCTTCATTCACAGCCAGGAGCCACAACTTACCTCACCCCTGCTCTGAATGACCCCATCATTTTTCCCTTTCCTTTCTCTTTCACTCATCTCAGAGCTCTCTTCCTGCCCAGCCCAGATTTCAAGGTGTGTTACTTTACACTCTCTCTAGCCAGAGCCCTCCAAGTTGTCACTCCCTGTCCTTCTTCCCTCTCACCCAGATAATCCCAAACCTGTCTTTATCGAATCACTTGCTGTCTTTCCTTCTATGCCTGGCTGGTAAGCATGTCTGGGCAGAATCACCCAGCAGTGCAGGCTGCTGCCACTACAGTTTGGCAGTCTCTGCCCCTGGCTGAATATGTCTCAGCAATTCCTTTTCATCTCCTGCAGGGGCCTCCTGTTTTTCCTGGAACAGATGTGCACATCGCCAATCTGCTCAGTCCCTTTACCAAGCATCCTCCTTGTTTGAAATTTACCCCTGTTTCTTTGTTCCAGTTTTCCCACTCACTCAAAGATTTAATCTGTCTTCAAATCCCACTTGCTACTTACACATGCTTTGGTGACAAACTAAGAATATGGTATAGAATAAAATGAATCCATTAAAACATTTATTCACAGAGAGTTGCCCTTAAGGAAAAGAACAATTTAAAAAGTCAGAATCACCTGGCTGTACAATCTAAAATGAGATGTGAGATTTTCCACTTTCCCCTGTTCCCTTTATTCACAGCAGAGTGGGTATCTCTGTTCCGCCTGAGCCTTCTCGGCTCTGTACTTTCTCGGGGCATGTTCCCTCATTCCCCTTACCTCTCTCCTAAACTCACTTGTCTATGAGCTGGAAGTGAAGCTAAGGAGCGTGCTACAACTGATTAATCACAAGTGACTAGTTTTGAAAAGCCCCAGGGCTTATGGGAGGGGTGGGGAAAAGGAGAGAAGGCAGAGGCCGCGCTGTGGGTGCTCTCTCTTACCGCATGACAAAATTTGCTTCATCTATTTGACGGCCACAGCCACTCTTCTTCAGAATCCCACCATTTCCCACCACCGCGCATTTCTTCAATGGCAGCTGGAATGGGGTTGCCTAGCAACAGAAAACAAGGCGGGTTTTCACTGCAAAGAACACACAACTGCTCACAAAATCATTGTTTACAGCAGACCCTTTGGAGGAATTTGACTGAAGACTGGGTCGAGCAAAAAAGAGCATGTGAAAAGAAAGATGCCAAGAAGTTTGTAAGGAACAAACTCGTCTGTTGCCTTGGAATTTAAAAAGCAAAATTTTAAAAAGCCTCCCTGAAGTGTATTTAAATATAACAACATTTTTTTTTCATCTCCCATTGGCCATGCACATAGTAGAACGTGTTTGCTAGGAAAAATTTAAAAAAAAAAAATACAAACTAAACACAGGATTATTTTTAAAGCCATTAAGCTGGAATCAAATGAGCTCCTTTCTCCTCTGTGATTGCAAACTCATTCTTTCATACAATCGGCCATTCACTCAACAAATGTTTCTGAATATTTCCTTTGCTAACTGTTGGGGAGAGATACATGCGACAGAAGTCACAGGCCTGAGGGTTCACAGTTCGGGATGTGAGGAGAGAAAGGGATGATGAGAGTGTGAAAATATATACCTAGGTAACAAACTCTATTATAATGCTGAAGTTGCTGCCAAAGAGATACCGACCGAATGTTATGGGGCAATCCACAAGGAAGAAGAAGGTGTTTCTGCTGAGCCAACTCAGGGAAAGCTTTCTCACCTGAGCTGAACCTTAAAGAATATGTAGGATGATGGTTTCCAGCTGCATCCATGTCCCTACAAAGGAAATGAACTCATCCTTTTTTATGGCTGCATAGTATTCCATGGTGTATATGTGCCACATTTTCTTAATCCAGTCTGTCACTGATGGACATTTGGGTTGATTCCAAGTCTTTGCTATTGTGAATAGTGCTGCAATAAACATACGTGTGGCTGTGTCTTTATAGCAGCATGATTTACCTGGACACAGGAAGGGGAACATCACACACTGGGGCCTATTGGGGGGAGGGGGAAGTAGGGAGGAATAGCATTAGGAGATATACCTAACGTAAATGACGAGTTAATGGGTGCAGCACACCAACATGGCACATGTATACATATGTAACAAACCTGCACATTGTGCATATGTACCCTAGAACTTAAAGTATCTTAATAATAATAATAATAATAAGGAATACGTAGGATTCCTCCAGGCACGGAACGCAGCACAAACAATGGCACAGAAGTATTTGCTGAGAGTAATGCTGTGTTTATGAGCTAATGAACACTCTGGGTGGGTCTGTCTAGAACTTAGGATCCACTAAGGGGCAAGTGGCTTGTGCAGAACCAGATAGCATGTGACCTTCCTTCTGCCAGCACTGAACTGGACTGCAAAGAAAATGTTCAGTGTATCTGAGTGTTCCCTGAAGTGCTATTTATAGAATGAATATGAAAACCCAGCAATAGCCCCTGAAAGTGAAATGCGTCATTCGGTCACTTCTAGCTGGGTCAGCAAGAACTGCCAGGTACAGAATTTCCTGCTTGCTGAAACAACGCAGAGCAGCTGGAGTTCTTTAGGGAAAGACCTTACATATATACAGCTGGCATCAAAAATAACCACCCTAGATGAATCTCAGGCAAATAATATGGGTTATTCCAAAAGAATAAATTCCATAAGTATATGAATATACACTGTAAGGGCCTCATATAGGCAGGAAGTAGTTAAACCAAAAATAAAATTCCCGGTGTTTCTGTATTCATTGGTAGCTGAGGTGGCAACTTAATGCAGCACAAGAAGAGGATTTTAATCCTCTGATTTCTAGTTGTCAAAGGAACAGCCAGAGCTATGGAAATATTGTTGATAAAAATACAGTACTTAAAGTGTAATGTCTAAGCATTTGCCAGCAGAGTTAAGAATTTCCTGCATTACTACACCAGAGACCAGCCCAACAAACATCAGAGCAGATCCAGAGTGGAGGGACGGGCAAGAAATAGAGGAGGGCTTGGAATCAACACTAGAAAAACATCAGTTAAAGCTATAATTTGTTAGGTGAAGATTTAAATGCTTATATTCAAAGTAGCTGTTTGTTTATTCCACAGGTATTTACAAAGTGCCTACTATGCATCAGGCACTGCCCTGGGTGACAGAGACATAAGTAAAAATTCCTGTTCCCACAGAGGTTATATTCTACTGTGGAAAACAGACGATAAGTAAAGATAAATGAGTAAAATGAACAGTGGGTCAGATGGTGACATAAGCTTTGGAAAGGAAGAAAGCATTGCCATGAAAGGATTAGGAGATGCTTTTGGAGAGCAACTGCAATGATTATTATTATTATTATTTTCTTTTGAGACAGACTGTCACCCAGGCTGGAGTACAGTGGCACGATCTCGGCTCATTGCAACCCACACCTCCGGGGTTCAAGTGATTCTCCTGCCTCGGCCTCCTGAGTAGCTAGGATTACGGGTACACGTCACCATGCCCAGCTAATTTTTGTATTTTTTATTTTTTTTTTAGTAGAAATGGGGTTTCACCAGGTTGGCCAGGCTAATCTCAAATTCCTGACCTCAGGTGATCGGCTCACCTCTTCCTCCCAAAGCGCTGGGATTACAGGAGTGAGCCACCACACCTGGCCCCAGGAACGACAATTTTAATAGGGTGATCAGTGAGCAAATTCCTGTAGGAGATGAGGTAGGTGAGCCTCACAGATCTCTGTGGGAACCCCTGGGGCAGAAACCCTAAGGAGAAAACATTCCTGGGATGGGACAGGGGGAGCAAAGAGCCTGTTGTGTCTGGAGATGAAGAAGCGAGGGAGGGAGAAGTAGGAAGGATATCGGAGAGTAGACTAGTAGAGAGGTTGGGGAATACATTCTGAAGGGCCTTGTAGGGTATTGTAAAGACGTAGGTTTTTATTCTAAGATGAGAATCAAGTCAACGTTGGGTGTGCAAAGGAGTGACATTATGACATATTTTGGAGCAATCACTATACTGCTACGCGAACAGGCTGTAGAATGTCATGGGCAGAAAGAGAGAGACCAGATAGGAGTCTTTTGTAAGAGATTTTGGTAACTGTTGAACCAGAATATGTCCAGAATCTGGCTGCTTCTCACACTACCCTATCACTGTCACTAGGAATAGTGAGAAGTAGCCAGGTTCTGGACATATTCTGGAGACAGCTAACTGGATTTGCTGATACAATGGAAACAGGGCAAGAGAAAAAGAGAGAAATCAAGGATGATGCCAAGAGTTCTGGCTTGAACAACTGTAAAGATAGACTTGCAATTTACCAACATATGGAAGATTACAGGAGGATCAGGTTTCTGGGGAATGATTTGGAGTTCAGTCTTAAATATGTCAAGTGCATGATGTCCTTTAGATACCCAGGTGGCAATGTCAAGTAGGCAAGTGAATATATGACTATGCAGTCAGGGAGTTGGTCTTTCCTGGAGATAGAAAATAGAGAGTGATCAGCATGGGTATTTAAAGTCAGGAGACTGGATGGCGAATGAGTGCAGATGGAAAAGAGAAGAGGTCTAAGAATTGTCCAAGTTAAAAAAAAATAGTGTCTCAAGAAGAAAGGAAAAAAAAATACATCAAATGCTACTGATAGATTAAGTAAGACAAGAGCTGAAAATTGCCACTGGACTTAGCAACAGGAAGGTCACTGGTGACCTTGAAAAATGTAAATTTAGTTCAGTTATAAGAACAAAAACCTGATCTGAGTAAGCTATACATGTACATTTGCATATTTATTTTCATATAGCTTATTTGAAAAATCTGGGTTCACTCATCCTCAACTAATATTTAGTTTGCTTTAGAAAAGCCAACTAAAAATCCCTTTAATTGTTAAAGAGTGGTTCTTGCCTGAACCTATTAGACCGGGAATTCCAGGTTTTCTGTCAGGAATCTGGCCCCAAAACAAACGGGCTTGAAAGCAGCAACATAGTCCTAGATATAAACATTACCTCCTAACTTCCATACTGTGGAACTATGGAATTGGAAGATAGGCTGTCAAACCCCTCTGTATTCTGCTTCCTGTCCTAGAAGGGATCTAACCTCACACAGGTTTTCATGAAATTATATGAGTTTGTGGATGTCAAGCATCTAACCAAGCCAGTGGCATGGAAGTCCACTCATCTTCCTTCCCTTTTTCATTTCTTTCCTCCTTCTAGCAGATTCTCCCTGGCTTGCTCAAGCCATGAAGTGCCTAGATTTCATGGTTTCTGTAGAACATGGGAAAATAGTAATTTATCACACTACCTTAAAAATTAGTAATAATTTTATTAACAGAAAACTTAGCTATTATATCCATGCACTAGTAAAATACCATCCCCCTAAAGCCCTCAAACAGAAGTCCAGGGGTATAAAAACAAAGCCATTTTGACTTTTTATTGACAAGCAATTTCATTTCATTTCAATAAATATTTCTTGAGTGCCTGAGTGCACTCTCTGGGCACTTACAATACATCAGTGAACAATAACAGCACACCAAAGCCCATTTACAGACAAAAAACTTAACTGAGAAAATACTACGGATTTTTTAAAAGTAATTGAGATAATACTCTCATTAACACTCACAGAATACCTCCTCAATTTCTCAGCTTGGCAATGGTCCATGTTTTCCAGAACGATGTATGAACAAGACGTTTTCCTTTTTGAGTCTACTTATATAGAAAGAAGTTTGGTCATCCATTGCCACATGAATATTATTATTTTAACAGAGAATATTTTTATTAAGGCATTGCATGCTGTCTTTTCAAATGTGTCTCCTTGTACCTATGCAAGAAAATAATCTACTGGATTTGAGAATATAATATACTATAACACTCTTGCTAACTTTAAAAAATCTATTCTAAATGCAAGGATAAATTAGACAGATTAACTATAGTAATGAGCTCAAGCGTTTTTTTTCTTTTTTCTTTTCTTTCTTTTTTCTTCCTTTTTTTTTTTATTTTTTAGACACCGGATCTAGTTCTGTGTCACCCATGCTAGAATACAACGGTGCCATCACTGCTCACTGCAGCCTTGATCTCCCAGGCCCAAGTAATCCTCCTGCCTCAGCCTCCCA